TTGATGTCTTTTTTTAAGGATTGGCCCCTCCTGACATGTTCAGAGCATGTGAGACAGTTTCACCATTCTTGCCTCTAGGAGCACCCCAGCTGTACTTCCTCCAAGACAGGCTTGTTCTTTTGACAGTCCATGGTACAATCAATACTCCAACACCATCTCTCAAAAGCATTGGTTCTTCTGTCATACTAATTCACTGCTAAACTTTCAGATGCATACAAGGCAACCAAAAATATCATGGCTTGGAAAAGGGGCACTTTAGTTTTAAACTGACATCATTGCTTTTTAGCCCTCCTAGAGAGATCTGTGACAGGTGTTTCCCAAAGCAAAATATCTTCTGAATTCTTAACTGCTGTTGTACGGATGGTGGATTCAAGCAAAATGAAGCTGACAAAATTCAATCTTTTCTCCTTCTACCATGATGTTAATTTAATACATCTTGCTGGCATATTTGATCGATATTTGACTGCAAACATTGGTAGAAATATTCTATTTCCTCCTCTATGGCTCTGGTTGTTGGTGCATATATTTAAATAAGTGGTATTCTCTAAACTTCCTTGTATGCATATGGATATTATTCTGTCATTCACAACACTATATTTCAAGATGGATCTAGAAATGACTTTTTAACTATGAAAGCAACCACATTTTTTCTCGCTTTTTCATCCCGGGCATAGTAAATCATATAACCGTCTGATTCAAAATGTCCCATGCCAGTCCATCTCATTTCACAAATACCTAGTATGTCAATATTTATGCATTCTATTTCTTTCCTAACAGTGTCAAATTTTTCTAAGTTCATGCTTCTCACATTTCACATCCCAATCACTAGTATCTGCTTACAACTGTTCCTTTCCCTCTGTGTTTCCATATTTGAGGGCTCATCCTCAGTTGCCAGCAGTTCTGAAAGAATTGGCAAAAAAATAAGGCCTCAGGAATTAACAGCATATCAACTGACATACTTCAACAAACAGTCGCTGCCCTGGATGCGTTCACCAAGTTATGCTAAGAAATATGGAGGACAACCACTTGGCCAATTGACTGAAAGAGATCAATATTTGTTCCTCTTCCAAAGAAAGCGGACCCAAAAAAGGTGCAAAAATTATCAAACTATATCATTAAGATCACATGCTACCAAGATTCTGCTGAACATTATCCAAAAACGACTGGAACAGCACATCTTCAGAGAACTGCCTGAAGTGTAGGCTGGGCCTCTTAGAAGAGGCCATAGTACTAGTTAATGTAATGTAATAGTTAATGTAGATGGGTCTTGGCTGAAAGCAGGGAGTACCAGAGGAATGTCTGTGTTTCATTGATTATGTAAAGGTATTTGACTATGGGTCGCAACAAACTGGCTAACTCTGAGAAGAATGGGAATCCCAAAACACTTGATTGTGCTTATGTGAAACCTATACTTGGGCAAGGAAGCAGTCATTAGACCAAAGCAAGGAAACACTGCATGGTTCAAAATCAGAAATGTCAGGGATGTGCCCTATCTCCATACCTTTTCAGTCTATATGCAGAACAGATCATCCAAGAAGCTGGGCTCTATGATGACGAATGTGGCATCAGAATTGGAGGAAGACTCATCAACAATGTGCACGTGCAAATGACACAAACCTGCTTGCTAAAACTGACGAAGACCTGAAGCACTTGCTGTAGAATGTCAAGGACTGCAGACTTAAATATGGATTGCAATTCAACAACTAGAAAACAAAGATCTCACCACTGATCCGACTGAAAGCATAATGAAAGACAGTGAAAAGATTAAGATTGTTAACAGCTTTCGTTTGCTCGGCTCCACAATCAACACTCTTGGATCAGCAGCCAGATCATCAAAAGACAAATTGCATTGGGGAAATCTGCTGTCAGGCACATTTCCAGAGTACTGGAAAGCAACTATATCAGTCTGGAGTCTAAGGAGCACCTGATTCAGGCCATACTCTTTGCAATTACTTGCTATGTATCAGAAGGCTGAAGAATTACTAGGGATAACAGAAGGAGAATTGATGCCTTTGAGCTGTAGGGCTGGAAAAGAGTACCGATATACCATGGACTGCTAGGAGAACAAATAGGTTCATCCTGCAGAGGGTGAAACCAGGCTGCTCCTTGGAGGCAAAGATTTTGAATCTTCATCTGATATAATTTGGGCAAGCTGCAAGGAAAGACCAGTCCTTGGAAAGGGACATCATTCCTGGAAAGGTGGAGGGACAAGCACAGGAGAGGAAGGCCCTGGATGAGATGGATTGATTCAGTGACTAGGGTAATGGAGGTAGGTGTGTCAGAGACAATAAGGTTGGCACAGGAGAGAGCAGGGTTCAGAGTTGTTATAAATAGGGTCACTATAAGTCACAAACAACTTGATAGCACATAACAACAACCATGATGTTGCCTATTGGTTCAGTAGTGAGGATTTCTGATTTCTTAATGCTGAAATGTAATCCATATTGAAGGATGCAATCTTTGATCTGCTGCATAAGTGATTCAAGTCTTCTAAACTCTACTGCAAGTAAAGTTGCATCATCTGCATAATGCAGACTGTTATTTGAGTCTTTCTCCAATTCTGATGCCTCATACTTCTTCAGAGTCCCACTTCTCAAATTATTTGTTCAGCATATACAGGAGATTAGCTAAAAATTACTGGAACAGTACATCAACAGAGAACTACCAGAAATTCAGGCCTGATTTAGAAGAGGCCATGACACTACAGACATTATTATCAATGTCGGATAGATCTTGGCTGAAAGCAGAGATTATCAAAAGAGTGTCTATCTGTGTTTCATTGAATATGCAAAGGCATTTGACTGTGTGGATCACAATAATTGTGGCTAACCTTGAAAAGAATGGGGATCTCAGAACACTTGATTGTGATTATTGAGAAATCTATACCTGGACCAAGAAGAAGTCCTCAGAACATAGCATGGAAACACTGCATGGTTCAAAATGAGGAACATGGTGCATGAGAGATGCAGCCTATCTCCATACCTTTTCAATCTATATGCAGAATAGATCACCCAGAAGGCTGGACTTTATGAGGAGGAATGTGGCATCAGGATTGAAGGAAGACTCCTCAACAACCTACATCACACAGATGATACAACCTTGTTTGTTAAAACTGAGGAACACCTGAAGTACTTGCTGCAGAAGGTCAGGGACTGTAGTCTTCAATATGAAGTTCAACATCAAGAAGACAAAGTTTCTCACCAATTGGCCAACTGGCTGTACCATGACAAATGGAGAAGAGATTGAATTTGTTAACAATTTCAGCTTATTCCACAATCAACATCTTGGCACCAGCAGTCAGGAAATCAAAATACGAATTACATTGGGATTATCTGCTCTCAGGGAGTTCTCCAAAGTGCTAAAAAAGCAACGATGTCAGTCTGGAAACTAGGGTGCATCTGATCTAAGCCAGGGCCTTCACAATTACATCAGAGAGCTGGACAATGACTAGGGATGACAGAAGAAGAATTGATGCCTTTGAATTATGGTGCTAGAGCAGAGTATTAAACATACCATGGACTGTCAAGAGAACAAACAGCTCTGTCCAGGAGAGGGTGAAATCAGGCTGCTCTTTGGAGAGAATTTTGAAGCTCCATCTTGCATACTTTGGGCATGTGGCCAGCAGGGATCAGTCCTTGGAGAAGGACAGCATGCTTGGAAGGGAGGAAGGCCAGCGCAGGAGACAAAGACACTGGATGAAATGGATTGACACAGTAATAGTGGTAATGGGGATAGTGGTGTCAGAGACAGTGATACTGGCTCAGGATGGCAGGGTTCAGACCTATTGTATATAATGTCACTATGAGTCACAGATGACTTGATTGCATGTAACAATAACATAACATACAGGTTGGACCTGTTGCACACCTTTCTGATTTAAAACCATGCAGTGTTCTTAGCCTAGGTATAGGTTTCCCACAAGCATGACTAAGTGTTCTGGGATTCTCATTTATCTCGATGTTAGCCAATGTTATGATCCACACAGTCAACTGTCTTTTGCATAGTTACAAATAAGTATCCTTTTGGTATTCTCTGCTTACAGCCAGTATATATCTAACATCAGCAATGATATCCCTGGTGTCTTGGCTTCTTCTAAATTCAGCTTGCGTTTTAGGCAGTTTTCTGTCAATGTACATTGACATTATTCAATCTTGCAAAAGACTTATTGCATGTGATATTAATGATAGTTTGATAATTTCCATATTCTATTAGATCACCTTGTTGAAAATGTGGAAAAATATGGATCTTGTCCAGTCAGCTTGCCATGTAGACATCTTCCAAATTTCTTAGTATTACTTAGGGCTGCATCTTTTGCTGAAATATGTAAACTAGGATTCCATTAATTTCTAGGGCCTTATTTTTGACCTACAGATATCCCAAAGTTTTTGTTTGCTGCTTTTTTTAAACTATAGACATCAGATTTTCTTTTTCAATAGCTGCCAGAAGATGATATGGAAAAAATAGGGCAGTGATGCCTTCAATGTGGCCCAATTTTACATTTAAACATATTATGCTTTTAAAAGCATGTATTACTCTTACATAAGTGACACTACATTGGCAAAAGGGAACACTTGTAATATGTCCATAAGGAGTTGCACTGCCACCCCAAAGGTGGCACTTCTCTGGAAGTTTGAATCCATCAGCTGCTTCTCAAGACAAAGATGAGCAATCTCCTCCCATACAATTTACAGCCTCTGAAAACCTGCTGATGGATCAGATATAAATCAGTTCTGGCTCAGTCATGATGTTGTTGTTATGTGCCATCAAGTCGCTTGTGACTCATAGTGACCCTACGTACAACAGCTCTGAACTCTGTTCTATCCTGAGCCAACCTTATTATCTCTGACACACCTACCCCTATTACCCCGGTCACTGAATCAATCCATCCAATCGAGGGTCTTCCTCTCTTGCGTAGTGCCCCCATCCTCCCAACCATATCATTCTCCAATCCTGATGAGGGGTCTTTTTATGTTGGCAAATAAATTAACTCTGGAACTTACTTTTACCCAGTGCCATTCAGCAACAATCTCCACAGACCAAGAGGGATAAAGCTCTTCCTTTACAAACCGCAGGTGCTTCTGTCTATTGGTCACCCAAGTAATCACAAGACAGTTTGAAGCAGCAATTTTAGGAATAGGTATCTGCTTTATTTGCATAGGTGATAAATAGCTGTACCTAAAATGAAAATTTAAAAAATCATCTCTGCTTTTAAAAATCACTCCAAAAACAGAAAAACAAGCAAGCGGAAGACTTGGGTAACACTGACTCCAAAAATGCAATTCTCCTTAAATACTGTACAGAATCATTTCACTGATTTCTCACTAGACCTTCAACTTCTAACCCTCTATTACCTATCAGTCCCATCATTCCTTCACAACTGCAATCCTAAATTAAGCCCACAATTTATGACTTCACACTGAGAAAATAATGTAGCAACAATAATGAATAATGAGTAATGAATAATAAATAATAAATAATAAATGCTGGTGGTGATGTACAAGATTGGAACCTTCATGTATTGTTGGTGGGAGTACAAAATGGAACAACCACTATGGAAGGCAGTATGGTGCTTCCTCGGAAAACGGAAAATAGAAATACCATTTGGCCTAGCTATCCCACTGCTAGAAATCTACCCTAAAGAACACAGAGACAAGATCCAAATACATTTATGCACACCCATGCTTATTGTAGCATTATTCACAACAGCAAAGAGAAAGAAGTGGCCCAAGTGTTCATCAACAAACGGATACAGAAACTATGGTACATCCATACAAAGGAGTATTAAGCAGGACTAAATAAATGAAGATCTCGAGAAACTCTACATAATTGCTTCTAGACATTATACTGAGTGAATCAACTTAATCAGAAGGGACAAAAGCAGTGTAAGACCACTTTTATAAAATCAAGAAGATTAAAGGGCAGTGGGGACAGGAGAGAGAACAGGAACAGAATGTACAGATAAGGAACACGGCACTGGAACAGGTGAAGGGAAGGTAATTCTGAAAAGAAAGGGCAAAAAGGCATTATAGTTAATGTAGCCAACAAGATGATACAGGATACGAATAGGGAATGAAGGAGGGAAAGGGGGACAAAACTGCATATATGGGTGAATGGAAAGCCAATTTCTTTGTAAACCCCCACTCAAATGACAATTTTTTTAAAAAGCAAGAAAAGAACAGATGAGTGAAAAGAAAATTAAACTTAAAAAATTGTTATGAGTATTATAATTATTAACATTGTAATTAACAGGGTTACTCCACAGTGCATCTAATATAGCTTATTTCCACTTACTTGTTACTTCTTTTTACTGATTTGTTCTGCCATGGAGGATCTATGACAATCACATCATATTTTTTTCCATCTGAAAACAGACAATTTTTAAAAAACACATTTTCTCTATATGATCACTTTAAAAACTTAGTTTGTTCTTCAAAGCTGAAATGCATTCATATAGACACAAATACAATGAAACAAAAATATTCAAATAAAATAATTTGTCAAAAAATGACAGACTTCACTTACTGCTCTACCCTTTGATAGTTTACTAAACAGGATAATAGTAATTTTAAAATTCTCCACACATCTCAGCAGTCATTTCTGGTTCTTTCATTTTCACACCTTTGACCACTAATCTAAGAACCAGGAAACTCTGGTGGCCTAGGGGTAAGAACCTACATTACCATCCTAAACACGTGGTTTGGATCCACCAGTTGCTCAAGGGGAGAAAGATACACAATCTCCTCTTATGCAATCTACTGCCTCTGAAAACCTACTGGAAGGTCAGCTATGGGTCAGTTCTGACTCGCTGATACACATCAACAACCTGAGAACTGGACAATGAATAATAATGACAGAAGAATAATTCTTGCCTTTGAGTTGTAATGTTGGAGAAGAGCACTACTATCTTATGGACTAACAAAAGAACAAACAGATATGTCTTGGAAAAGGTGCAGTCAGATTGCTCTCTGGAGGCAAAGATGCTTTGTCTCACATACCTCATACATGTTGTTAGGAGGGGCTATTTTTTTTTTTAATATGTTTTTCTCTCTGGCTGTTATTATATTCAGAGCCCACACTGGAATTGTTAATGGCAATTATATCAAGTAGTCAAGTACATGTTTTGATATTTAAATATTTTCTAAATGTCCCATTACTTACAAGGCAGAAAGTGTTGAGGGAACATTATATATATAATCCTTTTTTGTTTGTTTGTTTGGGGGTTGTTTATTTAAATAATTATTTTTTATTTTATACTGGTTTGCTTACAAAGTTCATATATATTGTTTTTCACATACCAGATCTTTCTCTATGATTACCCCATGCCCATCCTCAACCCTCTGCTCCTACCCTCCCCCCCTTAGATCCTCGTACACATTTAACTAGTTTTCTATATCTACAATAATGGTCTTAAACAGTATTTGGATAGGACTGAGTCAGTTCACTTAGCATAATGCTCTCCAGTCCCTCTCAATTTAGGTAGTGATTTTCAAAATCATTGCTCCTGCATGCTGCATAGTATTCCATTGTGTGAATGTACCATAATTTCTCAGTCCATTTGATTGTAGTTGAACATTTGGTATGTTTCCATGTTCTTGCAGTGGTGAATAATGCTGCTATAAATACTGGTATAAAATTCTCCGTTTATGCCTCAGTTTTCATTTTCTTGGGGTCTATTCTAAGCTGGGTCCTATGGAATTTCTATGTTCAGTTTTTTGAGGAAACTTCAAACTGCCTTCCAGACACCATTTTAAAATCCCACCAATATCTAAGAGCTCCTATCTTGCCACATCCTTTCCAACATTTATTACTTGCTGTCCTGTTAAACTTTGCCATTGCTACTAGGGTGAGATGGTATCTCACTGTAGTTTTGATTTGTATCTCTTTTTTTTTTTTATTTGCATCTCTCTTATTGCCAGTAATTTTAAGCATTTCTTCATGTGTCTGTGAGTCATCCAAATATTTTCCTCTGTGAAAAGTCTTTCTATGTCTTTTGCCCATTTTGTAATTGGGTTATCAGTCTTTTTCTTGTGGAGAACCTGTAGGATTCTGTAAACATTTGATATGAGACCCTTGTCTCAAATGATATTGCCAAATGTTTCTTCCCAGTCAATAGGTTTTATTTTCACTCTGTTGGAAAATATATTTGATGCACACAGGGATCTAATCTTTAGAAGGTCCCATTTAACAATTTTATTCTCCCCAGATTGTGCATTTCTGGCTGTATTTGGCAGTTTCTTTAAACCATAGACTAGGCCTTCTAAGCTTGATCCCAGTTTGTCTCTTAACAAATTTTATGGTTTGAGGTTTTACTTCCTAGGTCTCTGATCTACCTTGAGTTGATTTTTGTGTTCAGTGTGAGATGTGGATCCTGTTTCAACTTTTCTGCAGATTAGCAGTCTAGTTTTGCCAGCACCATTTGTTGAGGAGGTTGTCATTTCCCCATTTGATAGGTTTTCTTTCCTTGTTGAGTATCAGTTGACCACAGATAAACGGGTCCATTTCAGGGTTCTCAATTCTGTTCCATGGGTCTATGTGCCTGTCATTGTAACAGTACCATGCTTTGATTTTGGTTACTACTGTGATGTAGAAGGTTTTAAGTTATGTCTCCTATTTCATTTTTGTTTCTAGTTCATTTTTGTTTTTCAGGAGTGCTTTGCTTATTCAGGATCTCTTTAGGAGAGGCTGTTCTTTGGAGAGGAACATCATGCTTTAAAAGGTGGAGGGTCAGCAAAAGGGAAGAAGACCCTCAACCAGATGGACTGACAACACAGTGACTGCACCAAAGGGCTCTAGTGTGCTAGAGATTGTAAGGATGGTATAGAACAGGATAAGGTTCTGATCTGTTGTTTATAGGGTTGCTATGAGTCAGACTTGACTCAATGGCACCTAACAATAATTTAACCCTTTCAAATCTAAATGCTTTTTCATTGTATTCTCATTTTGAAGTTTTCACTGTAATCTTGTAATTATCAATATTCAATAAAATATTCCCATAAGTCTTTAACTCACCTTCCAAAACACTAACCTTAAGATAATCATAATTATGAAAACCAAAATATTTCAATTGATACAATCACTATTAACTGATATAGCAATCACAGTAAAATTTTTTTATTTTCTACTTTTTCATGATCCAAGCTCTAAACTTGTATAACATATTGCATTTAGTTTTCAAGTCTCCTAAATCTTTTCAACTCTCAGAAAGTTCCTCAGTCTCTAACATGTTGTTGTTATTAGGTGCCGATGAATCAAGTGCAACTAATAGTGATCCAGTGAACAATAGATCTGAAGCCTGCCCTATCCTGTGATAGCCTTTCATCTGTGACATACTTGAGCCTGTTGCCAAAGTCAGTCACTGTTAATCCATCTTGTTGAGGTTCTTCCTCTCTTTCACTGACCCCCTGCTTTTCCAAGCATGATGTCTCTTTCCAAGGAAGAACCTCTCTAACAACATGCTCAAAGTATATGAGACAAAGTTTCACTATTCTTGCCTCTAAGCGGCATTCTTAATATCCCCAAATTTTGAAGGTTACTGGCCAGTTATTTTACAGATTATCCCTCAATATGGGTTTGATATTTCTTCATGATCAAATTTAGAGTATCCATTTTTGGCCAGTGTTCAGAGAAGCAATACTGTACCCTTACTGGAACATTAGCATATCCATAGAAGATTGTTTCCAGGACCTCTATGGATACCAAAATCTGCAGAGACACTCGAGTCCCTTATATAAAGTGGAATAGTATTTGCATATAGCCTACACAAAGCTCCCCACATACTTTAAATTCTCTTTGGATTACTTATAATTACTGTTTTGTTGTGTGCCATCAAGTCAGAACTAACTCACAGCTAACCCTCCAGAGGGTGTTGAGAGGCATTTTAATCACATGGAAGGAGCCTGCTCATCCTTCTCCCATGAAGCAGCTGGAAGATTTGACCCAGGTGCTTTCAAGATGCAGCACAGCTTCTTATCACTAGGTCACCAAAGCGCCTTTGATTACTTATAATATTCAATGCAATATAAATGTTATGGAAACAGCAGTTTACACTCCCTCTTATTCAGCCTTTGAGGTACTGCTTTGACCACTTAAAATTATTTTTTTCATTTTGAATTCTTGTTTCATTCAATTCCTGGATATGCAACCCGATCTTATGGAGGCCCAAATGTAAGTCTCATTATTGGTAATGTTATATTTGGACACTATTGTCTGCCAGGTTTCTTCAGTGTTTTTCCTCTTTATAACTGAAAGTATCTAGTGAGGAAATGCTTTCAAACTACACCAACATCCGTCTCTCACCTTTTCACACACTATTTTGACCTAAGGACATAGATACCTGGTTACAATAATTGCAACTTTGGTTTTACCAAATGGAAATGTTCTATATTCATCAAACTGTATCCATTTATTCATTTCAATTTT